TAACTAATGGGTATCAGTTGGCCTCTGTGCTTTTGAGTGAGGGCTCCTAGAGCATTACCAGAAGTCTCATGGACAAAGGTGAAAAGTCTAAACTATAATTAGGAACCCCTAGAGAAGGTGTGTTAATACTTCTTTTAATTGAGTGATGGCCTTTTGGCCATCCTTGGATAGCTGGAAGTGGTCAGGCTCTGAACTCTTTAGATAGTGGTAAAGAGATTGAGCCAGCAAAGAAAATTTAGGTATCCAAGTTCTGCAATATCTGCAGAGTCTTAGAAATCTTCTTAACCATTTCTTGGTAGTAGGGACAGCATAAGCAAAAAAAAAAAAAAAAAAAAAAAACCCATTGCTGTTGAGTCAATTCCAACTCATAGTGACCATATAGGACAGAGTAGAACTGCCTCACAGGGTTTGCAAGGAGTGGCTGGCAGATTCAAACTGCCGAACTTTTGCTTAGTAGTCGTAACTCTTAACCACTGTGCCACCAGGGCGTCTTTTCTTTTGGGATCTATAGTGACCCCTTTTGCTGAAATAATATGTCCCAAGTACTTAACAAAAGGTTGGGATAACTGGATTTGTTTTCTGAAAACTTTGTGACCTCCTCTGGTCAAATGTAGTAACAACTGGATACTATCTGTAAGACATGCCTGTTGAGAGAGCCGACTAGTAAGTCATGTACGTATTGTAATTATGTAGACCCCTGAGTGAACTGTAAAGTATGTAAATCTACACAGAAAATCTGAGAAAAATACATGGGGGATTGATAAAACCTTCGGGCATGACAGTCCAGGTAAGTTGTTGGTCTCCCCACGGAAGGCAAATAAATACTGTCTTGCTGGACTGGAATGCAACAACAACAAAAAAAAAAGCACCACAAATATCAACTACTGTAAAGTGAGTCACTTCGGGGGGACATTAGAGACAAGCAGGTGAGGGTTAGGAACTATGTGAAATCTTGGAATTATTATACAATTAATAGCACACTATTCTCGTACAAATTTCCAGCCCCATTGTTGGGTTTCTTAACATGGAAAACTGGAGTGGTGCAAGGGATTATTAAGCCTTTAGCCCAAAAGTCTTGAATTATAGGAACAAGTCCTTCCTTATCTTCTCCTTTTAAAGGGTATTTAGAAATATTAGGTAAGGGTTTAGAGGTATCTATTTGAATTTTAATTGGTTCAGCTGATAGTACCCAACCAACATCAGTAGAATTCGTGGCCCATAAACTTTCAGGTACAGAAGAAAGACAATCCATAGAATTGGATACAGTAGGAGAATAACCTTTTTGTGATGGTAAGTTAAGTGCTTGTAAATAGCAATACGTTTCTTCCTTAAAGTATTTTCTATCATAGAGGTTATCTGTTGATTGGCTTCAGGTAAATCTAATAGCATTTCTCCTGTTTCTGAACATTTTATTTTGCAATTCCATTTAGATAACAGATCTCTTCTTAGTAAATTCATTGGAGTATCTAAGTTGAGTAAAAATGGGTGCATGTTCTCTCTATATACGACCTAAAGAGACAGAAACAGGCTGGGAATGGGTTAAAATCTGTTCTTGATTAGTCACCCCCACGACTCTTGATGTTTTATTACTCTGGGACAAGGGCTTTTGTAAATTTGTGGAGTTTGCTGCAGATAAGGTCTGTGTCAATTAAAAATTTACATGGTTCTCCATTTATTTGAATAGTCGTTTCTCCCTGAGAGTTCAGTGCTACCATAGGAAAAGCCTTTGATTTGTCCCAGAGCCCCTTTATTTGTCTGCTTCTGAGCTACATCTGGTGTTAGGTTGCCCAGTTTATATTTTAAACATTCCCTTTAAAAATGTCCAAGCTTTTTATGGTAGAAACAAACAAGGAATAAGTTACAGGGCCCAGTCTTAGCCATATGTGAGGTGGACCTGTTCTGTGTGTGGAAATTATTCTGAGGCTGGGTATGCAACTGCTGTCATTTCAGGGCCATAAGTTGATTTTGTTTAACTTTAGTTCTCTGCTCAGCTTCCCTAGCCTTCTGTTTAAGAGTATGAGACAGTTTATAGGCTAGAGTGGGTAAGTGTGAAGTGTTTTCATTTTCCCAACCTAGTTTGTGGTGTATTACTAACTCAGTGAGCTCCAGATGGAGGCCACTGACAAAAAGATAATTGAAAGCAATACGGGATCCAGTCTTTTATAGCTTTAACCTGGAACGTTCTTGAAAAAGTTTAGTCAAACGGTCCCTATAATAATAAATATTTTCATCTTCATTTTGTTTGCAACCCTAAACCTTGGTTCAATTTTTTCTTTGGGTGGGGGGGAGCTTTTGGGATAGCTTCAATAAGGTTTGTGACAATAGCTGTGGTCTGTGCTACTATTTCCATGCCAAGAATGTTAGGACGGATGGTTAGGAATTCTGTAGGAGTTTTCTATTGGGCCTTTTCCATTTACATTTAAAGATCACCTGGCATTATCAGCGAATTTATTAAATTATATATGTCTACTGAACCAGGTTCATAGCTATCAGCCAAGATTCTAAATTCTTGAGCGAATTTGTGAGGATCTTAGCGAGGGTTAGGAAATTCCTTAACAATAGCAGGAAGTTCCGCTTTTAACCAGGGGACAAAAGTGGTGGCTTCTGAGCCTCTTCGGGGTATTTAATTTTAAAATACCTTTCAGTAACAGGTTTTACTTCTTCTAGAGGTTCCTTGAGATAATATGGAGGTTCAGTAAGGGGATTTTTCGTGGAGTAGGAAGTAGAGAAGGGTGCAGGGGAGTAAATGCTGGAGGGGCAGAGGTAAAGGAAGGGAGCAGGGCATCAGAGACTGGGGTTGGACTAAGACACTGGGAATTTCACCATTTTGGGAAAGGGAGCCGTTTAGAGACAAGGAGCCATTTTGGGAAAGGGAGCCATCTTGGGAAAGGGAACAGTCTTGGTAAAGGGAGGGTATAGGGGCTGCTGCTGGGTAGATAGTCACTGAGGATACAAAGCTCTGACACTGTTATTCTTTAAATTGTTTAGCTTGTTTCTAAACAGTTTCCTGCAAGGAGGCAAATTTATCACTATGATTTCGTTTGGAAGCTTCCAAGTACCAATTACAAAATGCCTCCTATGTCTTTAGTTTTATTTGTAAACCCTTAGCATCTAATTTACTGTGAAGAAAGTTCAACTTAGTAAACTGAAATGATCCCCACAATGGCCATTGTTCCTTTAAATATCCCTTCATAAACGTGTGCCATCGGCTTAAATACAAGACTGAACTCGGGCCATAATGCTTAGTCATATAATCAGTAGGAATTCTCTTAGGGGGTCCTGTTTCAGTCTTGGGTGTGGCATTCCCCATCTCACGGAGAAACTTGCAAGTATTAAAGATGTAAATGTGTGCAAAAAACGGTGCACGAGAAAGAAAGGGAGTTAGTAAAATAGACTGGCCACAAGATGGCAGTCCAGCTATACTTAATTTGGTAATGAACCCAGCCAGGGAGACGCACAGGACACAAACAGAAGAGGAAAATATAGAGAAAAGATAGCCAAGATATCTCTCAAAGAGCTGTCTTTGTGATAAGCAGAAGCTTTGATCTGAGAAGCTTACCTCCTGTGAAACTGGAAAATTCTAGAAGATGGTTCTGGGCACAAGGGGCCCTTGCTGGTACTAGGGCGAGCTGCTTCCGTGACTTCTCAGGAACTCAGAAGATAGTATTCCTTCAGAATCCTGCCAATGACGCCATTAAATGTCACAAAGCAACCATCCATACTTTGATTAATGTAAAAATTGAGAGATTTATTGAAATAAAAGAGAAAGCTCAAGCTGAAAATAGACTGAACTCCATGCGGTGGAATCCAGTAATCCAAAATGACAACTCAGCAGTGATCTTTTATAGGAGAGAAACAATGGATATGAAACACATTACTTGATTGGTATTTACAAACTTAGATCATTAAAATACATTACTTTATTGGTAATTACAGGCTCAGATCATCAAAAGACATAACTTGATTGGTAAACCCATTAACCCGTTGCCATCAAGTCTATCCCAACTGGTGGCGACCCTTTAGGACAGAGTAGAACTGCCCCATAGGGTTTCCAAGGAGTGGTTGGTGGATTCAAAATGCTGACCTATTGGCTAGCAGCCAAGCTCTTAACCACTGTGCCAGCAGAGCTCCTCTTGATTGGTAGTAGATAATTTTAAGGCAGGACTTCCTGCCTGAAGCAGAAATTCCTGTGATGGAACTCAAAAGGCAGGGTTTCCTCTGGCAAGCTTTGTAAGGTGATTGGCTTAAAAGGGTATATGACTCTTCCTTGGATTGGTTTCAGTGTGGCAGTTACACAGGTATATGACAGTTAGGGGTCTCAGCATTGTTACATCATCATTACTGGACTTTCATCACTTAGAAATAGTATGGAAAATGGCTGCTGGTAAGGTGAAGACAGAAACAGCAAACAAGAAATCACACCCAATCCTCAAAATGGCCATTTCAGATCTTATCAGGTACCTCAATTTTTTTTTTCTTTAATTCCCTTACACAATTCCATGTCTCCGTCCTGGCAAGCATTTTTATTTATTTCAGTGACACTAGGAAAGGTCAGGTCAGTTGGATAGAGGTTAGGGGGGTGTCACCAGGGTAAGCTTCCTAGAAGGGATGTAGTTTTGGTGCAGGGTGAGGGTGTAGGTTAAACATCAGAGAAAGGGAGGGGCTGAAATCACCTCCTACCTGGAGTGCACAGCTGGTGGCTTGGGGGCTGGGGAGGAGTCCAGTGGGGGGCTGGATGTGGTGGAGAGCACGAGGGGGAGGTGCAGGCCTGTGCAGGGAGCTTGGGAAGGCTTAGGACCCTCACTCCCTGCTTAGGGACTGAACATGGGGCCTCAGCCTGCACAGAGAGCCCCCAGCTGCGCCCCTCTCATTGGAAGGTAGGATTTGGGCAGCTGGAGCCTCAGGCCTGCCGGCTATGGAAGGCCCGTCCCAGCCACCTGGGTTCCCCTACAGGCTGTTTGCAGCCCAAAGCAGGGCCAGACACGGCATGGTCTCCCAGAAAAGCCCCAGGTCACAGGCTGGATGGAAAGGGCTGAGCTGGGGCTGGGGCAGGGGTGGTGGATTTGAGTGAGGAGGAGATCCAAATAGGAATGCACCCCAGCCCGCTAGCCAAGGGCCCGGGGTCTTTCTATGCCTGCACATTGGTCAGCTGGATGTCGCCCCCCACTTCCAGGTTGTTGATGGCCGGCAGGTTCTTCAGGCGGTGGCGGTATTCACACAAGTGCTGGCCATTCACGGTCACCTTGAGGCAGTAGCTTTCACACAATATCCACACCTGGGCAGAGAGACCACAGCATTTGCATTACACTTGGAAGGCCTCAAACAAAATGCAGGCTCATGTCTCCCTCCCTCCTTCTCTCCGCTCCCCCCACCTCCTTTAATCCCTCCTTCATCAAATATTGTTAACCCCACACCCAGTATTCTAGTCATACTGAATCATTCGCTCTTCTAATCATGTCATGTCATGTCATGTCATGTGCTCTCCTTCTTCCATCCTTTTGCATATGCTGTTCCCTCTGCATAGAATGCCCTTCCTCCTCTGCTGTCCACCCCAGCGCACCTTCCCCACATGAAAAACTGCTAATCTCCCTTCAGGAGTCAACCCCCTGTGGCAAGCCTTCCCCACCTCCTGACCCCCTCCTAGTTGGAATTGGGGGCCTCCACAGGCTTCCCGACACCATCACTCTTGGTGGTTCATGGTTGTTTCTCTCTCCCTAACTGGCCCCTGAGCCAGTAGGGGCAGAAACTCTAGCTTGTACCCCTAGTACCCAGCACATAGGAGTGTTCTGTGCCTGGACTCCTAACTTGTGTTGCCTATCCCAATATACTCTCCATGAGGCAGGCAGAACACATCTGTTAAAACCTCATCATCCCCACAACAATAGCTTATATTCCACACATTATGTGTCCTAAGCGTGTTACAAATATTATCTCATTTAATTCTTACAACTCTATGTGATCGATATTATTATTGCCCTCATTTTGCAGATGAGGAAACTGGCACAGAGCAGTTAAGTCACTTGCCCAAGGTCACATAGCTATCTATATCAGAATATATTCTTCCTGGTCTGCAACCTCCCAATGGGAACCTCCCACTGTATTAAAATTCAAACTCCTTTCTATGCCCTCAAGGCCCTACACTGGTCATTTCCAACTCTGGTTGCGGATTATTAGGGCAAATTTTAGAAATACAGTTGCCCAGGCTTACCCTCTCATTTTCTTTCTTTCTTTTTTCTTTTTTTTAAGCTGTCTGGTGATCTGAATGTGTTGTCAAGGTTGAGAACGCCTGCTGTCTGCCACCCGGGCCTCCAGCCTCCTCACCTTACTCCTCTGCCCTCATTCTACCCTGAAACCCCTGAACTTGCTGTTTCTTGACAGGCCACACTATGGTTCCCAACATTTGCACTAGGGGTTCTCCACGCCCACCTGGAATGCTCTCCCCACAGGTCCTTGCTTGGCTGGCTTCTTCCCCCTCATGCAGGGTGGCCTTGGCCCAGGGCTCATTGCATCCCATTGTTCTATTGCTTTCTGCATAGCACCTGTCCTTATCTGCAGTTATCTTGTTCAACATTTGTCTCCTTGTTCCTCCCCCACTGAGTCTGTTGCAGCAGGACTTTGCCTGCTGGGGGCTTCCTACAAGGACTGGCCCTCCATAAAATACTTGATAAATGGATTTGTTGAATGAATAAATGAATGAGGGAGTGAATCAACGATGCTTCATTTTCAGATTCAATTTGGCACTTATTGGCTGTGTGACTTCAGACAAATAACTTGCATTTGTGAGTTTGTTTCTTCATTTGTAAAAATCAGATGGCAACACCTACCTCGTGGGGGACAACAGTAATAATAATAAAATTAATAATATCAATAACACGAGAATAATAAGTTTTTGGATACTTTGTCTTCTTCCAGGCCCAGCCTCACTGAGAAGCTTCAGTCTTTATCCCATTCAAAGTGTCCCCAGGCCCCCTCCACCCCATTCCTGTCTTCGCCCCATGAGAGCCTCTGAGCTCCAGGCTATGGCCGCTTACCGAGAAGTTCTGGCCGCAGCTGAAGGGCATTTTCCCAGGCAGGCTGCGCTCCTCAGACCCCCAGGAATTGTTGATCTGTGTGTTGCGGACCACAGCATTCTCATTGAAGCGGGGGTTGAGGTGGAAGGCGATGTCACTGCCAGAGCGCAGGTTGATGTGGAACCTGTGGGTAGACAGCTCACATCGGCCACCTTTGCCCACTGAGCGCTGGGCCCCAGTCCCTCTCTTCCTCCTTAGCCCACCCTGGGGCAGGAGACTGGCCAGAATGACCTTTGGGTTCTCTCACCCCCAAGATCCCTGGGGCGCTGGCTTACCTCTGGGCGCAGGGCAGGATGGTACCTGACACGATGATGGACTTAGACGGGTATAGCCCGCCCGGGATGGCAGTGAAGTAAGGCAGTGTCTGTGGGAGGAGGGGACAGGTCAGCCAGCAGCAGCCACAGCCACCGCCGGGCCCTGCAGGAGGGGAATTTTGTACAGATTTCCACGAACGTGCACTGTCCACAGAGCTTGGGAGCAGTGCCTGTGAGTAACATGGTTTAGAGAAAGCACCCCCATGATGTCATTATTTGGTCTAGCACACAAACTTGCCGGCATTCCTCAAATTAATGGACTTAAGCTATCAGGAAAGGAACTTTGGTCGGACACAAAAAGACACTTGGGCTGAAAAGGGGAGCCCACATGATTTGATCACGTTGAAGAGACCGTTTTAAAGTCTCTTTCAAGTGTCCTTTCAACAGTCTTCTGATGCACCTGGCTGTTTTTAGGAACTTCAGCTTTGAATGTGGCGAGGCCTCGGTTCATCCCCACACTGCTCCTCACATCCCACTTTGCCCAACACAAACAAAGACTCCATCTCTCCCCAAGAAACCACTTACATAGGTTAAGCTGGGGTACACCATAGGTGGGATTCCGGGATTCTGTTGAAAACAGACCAGGAGGTTCAGTGAAGTTGTGCACACACACAGGCTCCCACACACTCTAATGCGGATGCTCCCATGTGAGGCTGAGGTTAGGAGGCTTCTACTGCCTTGAGTTCTCCCATTCACCTGCCTTCTCATGTTGGCCTTCATGAAACTTCCAGTTATGTTCCTGGACCCCTTCAAGGCCACCTGCCCCTCAACCCCTCCCAGGTAGCTCCACTATCTCCCCACAGATTTGCATAGGCAAGAGGAGAATAAGAAGTTAAGACTGTGATCATGGTGACATGCCAGGGCTTTTCTTCAGGATACACAGCCTTGGAACCTCATGTCCAGGCGCTGGGGCCACTGCACTCCCAATTTCCCTACTGGGTCCTAGAAGACTTGCCTCTTTGACCACTGAGTAAGTCCAGCCTGCTCTGGAATCTTTGCTATCCCAAGGAGAGTCTTAGCTGAACATCTCCGGGGCAGCAGGCCCAGCCCTAAATGTTCCCATCTTCCTTGCTTAACCATTTTCTTCCAACTCTAGGTCTCTAGGGAATTCAGTCCTTGGTTGAAGGGGAAACAATGGATCTGTGAGCTGACCAAAATTTTCAACTTACAGGGAACATCTGTCCAGGGGTGTTGTGCATTGTGTGGATGATCGTCTGAGTCTGGAAGAAAGAAATTGGGGTCTTAACCTCTCACAACCATATGCCGCTAGAGGGCCCCTCTGAGGTGAATTAACCTTGAGTGTATTTCCAAACCTTTTCCCTGACCAGGCCCCCAAAATGGGCAGGTAGAAATGTTTCTTCTCTTAAGGGGATAGGGCAGGGGCACAAGGTTAATGTTCTTGGAGAAGAAATAGGCTACACTTGTGGCCTTTAGACCATCTTCTCAGGGAAATTTCTCTCAGGGTAGCCTCACTTTACAGAAAGAAGAACTGAATTTGGAGCCTCTGTCTTCTGTGCCTACCAGCTGAAGGGAAGGGGCTTGAACAAATTCCTCATTTGGTTGCTTCTGCATTCATTAGGGCCAGCAAACCACACACCACCTCCTCCCACACTCCCCATCCCTAGCACCACCGCCAAAGCCAAGCAGAAGGTCAAGGGTTCTGGCATTGGCTCCCCTCCCTCCCCATGGAGAAACCCCTGGTCCTGCCTTCTCCTTTTAACCCATGAGAAGAACCAAAAACAAAAGAATCCGAAGAGAGAGCAAGAGACTTACGACAGGGGCTGAGTTGGCAGGCCAAATGCCTGGAGGCTGAAAGGGATGAGAAAATCAGAATGGTGGTTATTGTTGGCACCACATGAAGGTGAGGAGGATGGCTGAATTCTAGGGTAGGTCCTTGTAAGAAATGCCTCCCCAGACTCACACTCACTCCCTTCCTACTTTCAGGCAAGTCTCCCTGAGCCTCTGACACCCAGATGCTCACCCACCATCCCAGGTACACTGATGGTTATGGAACTAGGTGAGCGAGGGTTGGGGGTTGAAGTAGGTGGGATATTCCTACTGACTCCCCGAGAAAGAGATATGGGTTTGATATAGACTGTATTGTCTTCATTAGCTCCAGAGGAAAAACCATGCCATATTTCACCTATGAGATGGGAAGTGGCATTTACTGAAGGCCGACTGCATGCCAAGCTCTGGACTTTCATGCTTTACAACGAGGGAGGCGTCATTAGCTCCTATTTTGCTAGTGAGGCAGTTAGGCTCATAGCAGTTAAGCAACTTGCCCACGCTCATCCAGGTTGCAAGTAGTAAAATACAACATGGTACCCAGTTCTGTCTGATTGTACCTACCACACCTTATATCCATCCTCACCAGGAAGGGCCAAAGTTAGGCTGCACTTCAAAGGTTCCCTGGAGCTTCACCAGTCCTGAAGTCAGTGTGGCAAGAGGCAGGTGCCTCATTTGTACCATGATGGGGCACAGGAAGGCTGGATAAATAGAACCTCTCTCCCCCACCCCCACTGCATGGGTGGCCAAAGGAAGGATGGGCCCTGCTCCCTTTCCTGTCCTGGATCTTGTTCCCACCCAGCAAACTATTCTTCTTGTCTTGGCTGGTCTCCCATTCTACCTGCCCTGCCTGTGCAAACCACATTCCACACTCATTTACTGAGTTCTAGTGCACACTAAGCACTGTGCAAAGTCCTGGGGATACAAAAATGAACACATCACCATCCCAGCCCTCAATGGGCTCATGGGCATAGGAAAGGTGAGGTGGAATGATGGAGACAGACACATAAACACAATGACAATGCAGCATGGTGACCAGCATAGTTATGCATAAAGTCCACAGGGACACAGAGGGGCACATTCAACAATCTCCTGGGCAGGGAAACCTCTGCAAAGGAGCGACATCTAGGCAGAGCATTGAAGGGATTAGGAGTCTGCTGGGAGGTGAGGTGGGCAAAGAGTGTTTTTGGCACTGGGGACAGTGTGTGCAAAAACATGATGCCCGAGAGGGCTTGTGAGCAGTGGAGGCTGGATGAGCTCCGTCGGTGAAATGTGGGGCTGCGAGGTTGGTTGGGGCAATACTGGGAAAAATTCTGTATGTTCTGCTCATGAGTTTGGGTTTTATTTGGAAGGCTTGGGAGCACTAAGATTTTTAAGCAGAATAGGATATAATCAGATTTGCTTCTAGGAAGGTCACTGAGGCAATGGGTACGTGGTGGGTAGGAATGGGGAACCAGACTATGGTCATCTTGACCAGGGATCACAGTGGACTGAACCAAGGCTGAGTTCTTGCAGAGGAGAGAAGCTGGCCCATTGGAAAGACATTAATGAGGAAGAGGGAGGAGCCAAGGATGACTCCCTAGTCCCCAGGTCTAGGTTCTGGTAGATGAAGGTGGGGAATCCCTGGGTGGGTATCCTAGGGCCTGTAGGTCCTAGTGGCCTGCAGTTGGAACCCGCCCCTCAGACCCCCTGTCCTTCCCTGCCACCACTCAGCCTCCAGGCCTCTGGGCCTCACTTACTTTCGGTCTGCGCCCCTTGGGCTTCGGGGGAAAACAAGCAGGCTGTGAGAACTGCACTGTGGAAAAGACGGGCTGGATGGGGGCAGCACCACTGTTCTGCTAAAACAAAAAGCCCCACAGGGGAAAGACAAGCATTAATGGAGCCAAGAAAGAATGGAAAAGCAGGGTAAGGGGCAAGAGGGAGCAAGCCAGGCAGGCAGGGGAGTGGGGAGGGTGGTACAGAAGGAGAGAGAGAAAGGATTAGGTTCCAGTGAGTACAGCAGGGTGTCAATCTCTCTCTCTCTCTCTCCCACCCTACAGTGGAGAGAGTGGGTAGGGAAGGAATAGGAGAGATGAGGACCAAAAGGAGAGGAACCCATATGTGTTGCGGGCCTACTATGTGCTTCACTCATCCCAGGCTAGCCCACTCAAATGCCAATAGTAGCACCGGCAGCTCTAATCCAGCCTCAAGAATGTGAGCCCAACATACCCCAATCTTCCCATTTTTCACAAAAAGGCCAGAGATCGATATCCCTGCGGTATCTCCTGACATTTTAGATGTCGGCAACACATTCAAACTGTTCGAAATATGAGAGGGTCAAATTGTCCCTTGTGAGGTCCTGGGGGCCATTTTGAGACCTCTGACATATATTGTCTCATCAAAGCCACACAGCACCCCATGGTATGGCAATGGTTATGCTCATTCTACAGATGAGGAAACCGAGGCTGGGAGAGTCTAAGTCACTCTTCTAAGACCCCATAGCCAATGAGAATGGCTGAGCTGGGAATTTGAACTGGATTCCATCTGATTCCCCAGCCTGGGCTCTTTCTGGAATCACAATGCCCCCTAACCAGGATAGAAACAGAGAGCAACAGAGAGCCAAGTGGCTGAGGAGTCTGTGAGACAAAGGCAGGTACTCCAGACAGAGATGGTGACACAGGAAGAGCATGACGACAGAGGAGAAGGGAGAGGTCGGACACCAGGACGGGGATTAAGAGGTGTGTCCCCAAAGTCACCTGACTAGGAGATTAGGCTGGTCCCTTTAGGCCCACCCAACAGGGCCTAGGCACAGATAGTCTGAGCCCTGCACCCAAGCCCCGGGACAGGTGCCGGGTGGTAGTCTGACCTGGAACTCGACGGAATGTAGCTGCAGAGGACCTTGGACTGCAATGGTATCCACACGGTGGAAGGGCACGCGGTGTGAGTACTGCAGGAAATGGCTCCCGTTCACTGCCACCTGCCAAGGGAATTCATATCCCAGGAGAGGAATCCCAGGCCAGATGGAGGAGCACACCTAAGCCTCCTGGCCCCTGTTTCTTGAAATTAAGCCCCAGGTATGCTTTTCACATCCATCCTGTGCCAGTTACAGGAGTGTGCGTGGGATCCACAGTGCATCCAAACCCAGTCTCTACTTAGCTTTGACTTAGTTCTGACGGTGTGTTTGTTGATTTATTGCAGTAGGTTTGTCTTCCTAATCATAGCTCACCCGGGGTGTTATTTACGTATGCACCACCAGTCGGCATGTTCACTGGGGAGCAGGGGAGAGGTAACCACAGGTCTTACATTGAGTGGGTGGGCGTGTCGATGTTCACACAGTCAAGCATAGACACAGATGTACTCTCTCCCACCCAACTCCCCAGATTGAGAGACAGTATTCACGGAAGTAATTGGCAATAGCTTACAAAATTAAGCAATTAGTAGATCCTAGATAAAGACTGGTACAATGTTGCAGAAAACTAGATGTTATCACGGACCTGAAGTGGAGGAAGGGCTACAGCAGAGGAGTAGAATTAAAATGGACTTTACAGATGTATACCTAGATGGTGCAAACAGTTAAGGAACACGCTCTGCTGCTAATGAAAAGGATGGGGGTTCGGGTCCACCCAGAGGTGCCTCAGAAGAAAGGCCTGGTGATCTCCTTCTGAAAAATCAGCCAACAGTGCTATGGGGAACTGTTCTACTCTGACACACGTGAGATATCCATGAGTCAGAATCCACACAATGGCAACTGTTATGTTTTTAAAGACACACGAGGTCAAAAAGCAGTATGCGATGTATCTTGTTCTGATTTTCTGAATAAAATAAGCAGTAGATGCACTTGTTGATGCAGGTAAAGGTGTGTAAGGAGACTGTACAACCATCGGTAAGGACCTTACAAGACAATGCTCCTGTTTTTAGAGAATGGTTTTGCTACCACCTGATCTCAATGAATGTGATTATTTAAAGGCCATGCACTCAGTGTGATGGGGCTGGAAGGGCTGGGAGCCTGGGGATGCAATGGGAAGGAAATAGGAGGGTTCTTGCTCACCTTGAAATCCGAACTCTGCACCAGGACAAAGATCTCAAAGAACTTGCCCATCTGGAAAGGCATTTGCATCTTCCTCTCCTCAGGCCCCCAGGATCCATTCTGCTTTGTATTGCAGACCACATACCCACCCTCTTCAAACCGAGGGTTGAAGTGGAAGGCGATGTCATTTCCACTGCAACCGGTCTGAAAGTTCACAGCAAACCTAGGCCAAGGGAAATCAAATAGTCTTCTGTAGCATGGTTTACTGCCAGTGGTGGGAACAGGAGGTCCTCAGTGCCTTTGACCTACATTTGTCTGGGAACTTGCATACAAATTGTGTGGCACAGACTAATTTGTTGGCATCGTTTTTGTTCGCCTAATTTGGACTTAGTGTGGCTTTCTGCAACTATTGTTTTTTGCCTTTACAGCATTATCTTCTAGAAAGAAATGGAAATGGGTAAAGAAAAATGTTGACACTAGCACCCAGAAGCATAGGTCTTAGATATTAACTACAAAGTTGTATGAAAAATGGAAGTCGTTAAGCATGCTCAATTGGGAAAGAAAAGAACAAAATTAAAGAACATGTAAAAAGGATGGGAACATACCTACAAAGATAATGTCTAAAAGGTGAGATATAGAACAAATACTAGCTCTCCGGGCATGAAACTTATTAATAGGAGCATCTTTCCCATATTGGTTGTTGGGATTTATGTTAGGAACATGCGAGGTGTGGAAGTAGAACCCCTGAAGCCAGCTGGGCCTGGACTCAGTCCCCAGATCTGCACTGTTGGTCATTTGGGATGACCACCAAATTACAGTGCCTTCAAGTTACTGCATCCAGGAGAGGGAGTGACTCTCTTCCTACAGTCCCAGTGTAGTGCAAAGAGGTAACACACTAGGCTACTACTGAAAAGTTGGAGGTTCAAGTCCACTCAGAGGCACCTCGGAAGAAAGGCTTGGCCATCTACTTCCAAAAAATCAGCCACTGAGAACTCTACGGAGCACAGTTCTACTCTAACTCACAGGGGGTCACCATGAGTCAGAGTCAACTTGACAGCAACTGGTATCCCTCTTCCTGCAGAGTGATTAAGTGAGGAGTGTTCAGGAAGCCCCAAACACAAGTACATGCTGAATTGTGTCCCCCTAACCCTTGTACCTGTGAAGGTGACCTTGTTTGGAAATAAGGTCTTTGAAAATGTTATCAGTTTTGACATGAGGTCATACTGAAGTAAGTGTGGGTCCTAATCCAAACTGAGTAGTGTCCTTATAACGAGAAGAGAGACACAGAGAGACAGGCAAGGCAAAGACAGCCTTGAGAAGATGCGTGTGCAAGTCAAGGAACATCTGCAGCCACCAGAAGCCACGAGAGACAAGGAAGGATCTTCTCCTAGAGCCTTCAGAGAGAGCATGACCCTGCTGACACCCTGTATTCCTACTTCCAGCATCCAGAACTGTAAGACAATAAATTTCTGTTCTCATAAGCCACTCAGTTTGTGGTATTTTTTTTTATGGCAGCTGTGGGAATCTAATCCAGAATGGTGTGAAGGGGATCCAGAATGTTCCATGGCTCATGTATAGGGATAAGAGAGCCACTGGAGCAGTAGATGTCTGGGGTTGAGACAGAGGAGCTTCTGATGGGGAGCCATGTGTCTAGAGGGGTTTAGTAGGCAGCCACCACAGAGAACCCAGCCTATCACTCAGATGGGGAACCTCAGCTTCGGTTATCAAGGATGGCACAAAGGCTTGCGTGAGACATTTGTATTTTGTATTGGGAGTCCCTGGGTTAATGTGCCCTCTGCTAACCAAAAGGTTGGAGGTTCAAGTCTACCCAGAGTCTCCTTGAAAGAAAGGCCTGGTGATCTACTTCTGAAAAATCAGGTATCGAAAAAACCTATGGGGCACAGCTCCACTCTGACACATACGGAGTCACCTTGAGTCAAAACTGACTTCACTGCAACTGGTACTTGTATTTTGTATTGACTCAATTGTTTCCCGAAAAGATTTTGAAACTAAAATAGACCAGATTACTTTTGGTAGAAACTTTAAATGTTTTCACGTCAGCAGAATGAGGGCTCCAAAATAGAGAAGAACAGTTATGGGAAATGAAGCAAGTTAAACTTGGGCAACTCTGGGCCATAGTGTGCCAAATTCAAGCCCGTAACATAATATTCTGCCTCTGCAGGGGGTCTGCTTCCTTCCTTAGATTTGGAGCTCCTTGCAGGCCAAGAGTCCATTAACCTTGCAGTCTATGTAATAGTGCCCTCGAGTAGCGGGCACTGAGGAACAGGTCACTGAGTGTTGGCAGGGCCTGCCCTGCTCATCTGCATCCCAGGAGCCAGTACACAGCAGGGAGGTTGTTGGTTGAATGAACCAGAGCTGACGGGCTCCATGGTTTGCTAAAGGACAGGCTGGAGAGAAAAAACTGTGCCAGGTACCTGTTTCCACTGCAGTAAAGAACGGTCCCCTTGATGATGATCTGGAGTCCATCATGGAGGCCCCCTAGAATTGCCCCGTGGAAAGGGACGCCCTGCAGGGAGGAAATGGTGGAGACCAGTCAGTCAGCCTGCTCCTCTGTTGGCTCTCTGTCAGCACTTGTTAATGGCTGGCCTGTGTGTGTTGGACACCTTGCTGGGGCAGAGAATGTGGCTGTGAACTAGACAGATCAAGTCACTCAGCCTCCCAGATCTTCTGATTATGTGAGGAAGTGGACACCAATCGCGCTATTTACACGAACATTCTGCTATTGTGATACGGAGACTGTGGGCTCTGAGAGGATGTGATGGTGGCTGAACTTCCCTTGAAGGTCTGAGAAGGAAGTTCGAGCAAGCTGAGCCCACACAGAGTTCACCAGGAGGAGGGCCTTGGAGGCAGGGGAAGTAGCATGTACATGGGCCCTGACTGAGATGGGAAGGAACCAGAGCAGTGATGGGGGCTGCAGGACCCCAGATCAAGCTCTCAGCAAAAGTCCCAGGGCCCTACCCAGGAACCCTAGATGTCCAAAGGATCAAAGGGACCCATCAACCTCTTCTGGAGGGTAACCCTTCAGCTCACCTGAGAAGGCCAAGAAGCCACTCCCACAGCCTCCACAGAACTATGATGACCCTAACTTTTGCCCTCCCAGCCATCTCTGGTAGCGCCACTTCCTGAACCCTCTGTGCCATGGGGCTACCCCTCCTCTACTTCTGCCCCTAGACTCCCCATCCGTGATGGTTAAGGTTATGTGTCATCTTGGCTAGGCCATGATTCTCAGTGGTTTGGCAGATAGTATATAATCATCCTCCATTTTGTGATCTGATGTGAGCACCAGCCAGTCAGTTGAAACGAAAATTTCCTTGGGGGTGTGGCCTGCATCAAATATACGTGAATATTCTGGCAAAACTCGCCCTCTCTGATCCTGCATCTGACTCATCATCCTCTGAACTCTGGTTTTTGTGACAAGAGCCAGCAGCCTGCCACCTGACCTGCAGATTTTAGACTCATCAGCTTCCATAGCCTGGTAAACCAGCAGCCTGCTATCTGACCTACCATTTTTTTTGTTCATCAGCACCTGCAACCACGTGAGTTGGGAGAAGCCTTCATCCGGGCACCTGACCCAGGGATTTGGGACTTGCCAGCCTCCACAACTTTTTGATATATTTCCTGGAAATAAATCTCTCTCCATATTTATATATATATACGCTTCACTAGTTTTGCTCCTCTAGGGAACCCAGCCTGACACCATCCCTTCCCTCAGGCTCTCAGTGGCCTCTGAAGCCCCTGTGTGGTATCTTCACTCCTCCTAGGTTCCACTGGCAACCACTTTATCAAATTCTCTCCTGTGGGCCTCTCCAAAGGAGCAGCGGCTGTGGTGAGGCATGCATCTGTTATAGAGTGAGGCATACTCCAAGTCTGAATCCCAGCTCTGCTGCTCATTATCTGAGCTGCCTTGGACAGACAATTTAATCTCTCTTTACCTCAGTTTTCTCATCTGTAAAATAGGATTCTTGTGATGATTCAGTGAGAAAAAGTCTGTAGAACAGACTGGCACATAGTAGGGACCTCTCCACCTCCACCTCCTTAGACTCTCTGAGCAAAATTCCCAAAGTTGTTATTCTCAACTTTCAACCCTTATCTCCGGAATGCCTCTTATTCAGTGTGGTTCTACAACGTGTATTAAAACACAGTTCTATTTCTTAGCTGATTTTCACATAGTTAATTTCTTCTCTAACATCTTCTGTATGTCAATTCCCAACAAAAATGAAATAACTCCAGAAGCCGGCAGGTAATGTAAATAAGTGAGATGGCCAGGAAGGACCCAGCAGGGAGTAGTATGGACTATGACAAACTACATCACATTTGTCATCTAACTAGGCAGGTTCACTCAGCTTTAACCAATTGTTGCCATCCAGGCCCAGTGTTGGGAGAGCTTCCAAATTTTTAAGAGAAGACAGAAATCAGAATTTTCTTTTCTGTGACATGTTCTAGTTTCTGTGAAAAATCTTTTTAAAAGCATAGTGTAAGTATCCCTATCTTATAGAGACACACATATTGAAATATTTGCGAAGGAAATGATATAATATCTGAATTTGCTTCAAAATAACTCAAGAGTGGAGGTGGGGGTATAGGTGAAGGTACTATTGGCCATGAGCTGACAACGGTCTAGGCTGGGTGATGGGTGTGTGTTTTACGTTTGAATTTTCTATAATAAGTTAAAACAAACACTGAGTAGGTGAAAGAAAACACTCGCCACCCAAATCATTCCACATTCACCCCACTGGTCACTGCTTCCTGGCCTGTGTCTTGAGTTGTACCACCACACAGAAGCCACGGGAAACCCACCCTAGCTCAGTGCACACAGCTAATGCTGGAAAAGCCCCAGTCATGCCGGGATGACTCCTGCCACATTCAGACAGCCTCTGATGGACATTTGGGAGAGGGTTTTTTGTTTTTTGGTTGCACCTTGGTTAAGTCTAACTCTGTCCATAAATGCTTTGGTGAACTTCAGCAAACCACAGCTATGCTGCGTCTCCAGGTTCTCTCTGTCTTCTTACCTGGTAACATCAGTGGTTTAGAGGAATGAAAAAAAAAAACCTCATAGCAACCCTATAGGACAGAGTACAGTAGGACTGCCTCATAGGGTTTCCAAGGAGTAACTGGTGGATTCCAGCTGCAGACTTCTGGGTTAGCAGCCGAGCTCTTAACCTCTATGCCACCAGGGTTCCTTGGGGGAAGCAGAGTCAACCTAATACAAACATGGACCAGCATTGCGTAGTGTGATTTCAAGGGTATCTGGAAGCCTGTCTTCCCTGAAAAATACTTCCCTCATATGTTTGTTGCAAGCTTGAATTCTCTTAAGAGAGGACCAAGCCTTTCATACTAGCCTAAGAGATCATGCTTGAAATGTAAATACTCCTGTGAAGCAAGAGACCTTCACTTAAGCATATCCAATGAGGTATAAAGAACAGACAGCACAGCTTGATGCGGGGACGGGGTTGGGTGGCAATCCTAAGTGCCAAGAAGACATTAAGGAAGTTGGAGATGGAGGAAGAAAGAATACAGATCATGAGGTGGGGTAGAACTGATTAGTCATTAAGTTAAAAATTTTCCCCAGAAAAGATTTGAGACATTGCAATATGTCTTAAACAGTGTTTCCAGATTTTGAAAAACAAAATTATTTTAAAGTGAGTATAATCATGCAATAGGAGCCCTGGTGGTGCACTGATTAAGCACTCGGCTGCTAACCAGAAGCAACCCAACAGCTGCTCCACGGGAGAAGGATGCAGCAGTCTGCTTCCATAAAAATTACAGCCTTGGAACCCTATGGGGCAGTTCTACTCTGTCCTATGAGTATTAATCGACTCAACGGCAATGAGTTTTGTTTTCTTTTTATATAATCATACCAACCAGGTTTATTTGTTGCAGCATTATAATAGTAAAGAGTTGGAAACAGCCTGAAAGTCCACCAATAAGAAAATGGTGAAATAGATTATGGTATTGTTATACAATTGATTCTATGTAGCCTTAAAAAAGAACAGAAGAAGAGGTAGAGGGAACTCTTTGAGCGCTAATGTAGATTGATGTCATTTGTATGAAAATTATGCATGGATATACTCTCCCCATCCATTTTTTATACAAATGACATCAACACTTACTGATGAAGATCAAAGAGTACAGCCTCCAGTATGCATTATACCTCAATATAAAGAAAACAAAAACCCTCAAACCTGGACCAAGAAGCAACATCACGATAAACGGAGAAAATTTTGAAGTTGTCAAGGGTTTCATTTTACTTGGATCCACAATCAACGCCCACAGAAGCAGCAGTCAAGGAATCAAATAAGGTCTTGCATTGGGCAAATCTGCTGCAAAAGACTGCTTTAAGTGTTCAAAAGCAAAGATTTCATTTTGAGGACTAAGGTATGCTGACTCAAGCCATGGTAATTTCAGTTGCCTCATATGCATGTGAAAGTGGACAATGAATAAGGAAGACTGAAGAAGAGCTGATGCCTTTGAATTCTGATGCTGGCGAAGAATACTGAATATATCATGGACTGCAAGAAGAACTAACAAATCTGTCTTGGAAGAAGTACAGCCAGAATGCTCCATATAAACGAGTATGGAGCAACTTCTTCTCACTTACTTTGCACATGTTATTAGGAGGGACCATTCCCTGGAGAAGGACATTGTGTTTAGTTAAGTTGAGGGTCGGCGAAAGAGAGGAAGAACCTCAACGAGATGAACTGACACAGTAGCCACAATGATTGTGAGGATGGCACAGGGGCAAGCAGTGTTTTGTTTTGTTATACATAGGGCCATTATGAGTCAGAACTGACAGGATGGCACCTAACAACAACAACAACAATATTTATTCATAAAATATCTGTAGGAGAATTCATAAGAATCTGAGAACACTAGTTGACTCCAAGAAGGATACAGTCATCTGAATAATGACTACCCCAAAGGTGTCTGCACCCTAATGCCCAGAATCTGTGAATATGTTACTTTAGTGGTAAAAGGGACTTTGCAGATGTCATTAAATTAAGGATTTTGCAATGGGAAGATTATCCTGGATTATCGAGGTGGGCCCAATGTAATCACAGGGTCCTTGTAACAGAGAGGCTGGAGGATTGGAGTCAGTAGTAGAATGATGGCAGAAGCTGCTATTTTTGAAAATGGAGGAAGTGGACACAAGCCAAGGAATGCAGGCAGCCTCTAGAAATTAGAAAAGACCAGGAAACAGATTTTCCTCTAGAGCCTCCAGAAAGAGCATAACCTCATCAACACCTTGATTTTAGAACTCTGACCTCCACAACTGTAAGCGAATAAATTTGTGTTGCTTGAAGCCACTAAATTTGTAATAATTTGTTACAACAGCAATGTTGTTTGTTGTTTAGGTGCTGTCAAGTTGGTTCTGAATCGTAGTGACCCTATGTACAACAGAATGGAACACTTTTGCTCCTGTGCCATTCTCACAATCATTGTTGTGCTTGAGCCCATCCTTGCAGCAACCTTGTCAATCCATCTCATTGAGGGTCTTCCTCTTTTTTG